CCACTCCAGGCCAGCCCCACATCAAGTTCCACAAGACGTGGGTCATTAATCCTGCCAGCCTGCCTCCAGATGACGACCTGGAGGAACATTTACAGGTCTGCCTGGAGGTAATCGACATAGTACAGACGGCCTGCCTGGACCTCAAGGACGTCCCACTGCCATCATCCGATGAGGTATTGTTCATGGACAGGAGCAGCTATGTCCAGGAAGAAATCAAGTATGCCAGGGCAGCAGTAATAACTCTAGACCATGTCATTTGGTCTCAGTCATTAAGAAGGGGAACTTCAGCCTAACAGGCTGAACTCATAGCCCTAATTTGGGCTCTCCGATGGGGCAAGAGAAAGTCAGTAACCATCTACACTGACAGCAGATATGCATTTGCCACAGCGCACGTGCATAGCGCCATCTACCAGGAACAGGGGTTATTAACCTCAGCCAGGAAGAACATCAGAAATAAGGAGAAAATTCTCACCTTACTTGAAGCCATCTGGCTACCAAAAGCAGTAGCAATAGTGCATTGCAAGGGACATCAAAAAGGGGATTCCATAGAGGCACAAGGAAAACTGAGCAGCAGACCAGAAAGCTTGAGAGGCACTCTTAAAACCAGTGGGGCCTCTCCAGATACACTAGGTCAGAAAATGACTGGGCTGAACAGAAGCCAGCCACCCAAGAACCAAACAAGTGATGGACTCTGCCAGATGGGAGATGGTTGGTCCCAGCGGCTCTAGGTGAGACTTTGGTCAACCAGCTGCACCAGACTATCCACTTAGGTTACACCAAGCTTACTGAACTCCTGGGAGGCAGGTACTACATACCCAATTTAGACAATATAGTGCATGGCGCTGTATCCAGGTGCTTGACCTGTGCCCAGGCTAATGTTAAGCAGGATAGAAAAGCTCCCCTAGGAATCCAAGCTTGGGGAGCCACCCCAGGGGAACACTGGGAAGTAGATTTTACAGACGTTAAGCCCTCAGTGTCAGAATATAAATACCTCCTGGTTTACTTAGACACTTTCTCTGGGTGGGTTGAGGCTTACCCTACCACAACAGAGACAGCCACCATTGTAGTTAAAAATTACTACCAAATTTACTTTAGAAACTAGTGAAAACTGGACCATGCTGCTCCCCCTCACCCTCTTACAGGTGAGATGTACCCCATACTGGGACAGATTCTCCCCTTATGAAATTATGTATGGTAGACCTCCTCCAATTCTTTCCAAGCTCAGAGAAGAATGGAAGGCTGCAAGTTCTTGCAGGCCCTGCAGTCTACCCAGAAGTCCGTCTGTAAGCATTTCCACAACACCCTGCCTGTACCCAACTCAGACCTTGTGCACCCTTTCCAACCTGGGGACTCAGTGTGGGTAAAGAAGTTCACCACCCAGGGACTAACTCCAGCCTGGAAGGGACCATACACTCTCATCCTGGCTATACCAATGGCTGTCAAGGTCAATGGCACCCCGACCTGGCTGCACCATTTCCAGCTGAAGGCAGAAAAAGCAAAATGGACGGTTCAGACCTTTTCAGACCCCTTAAAAATAAGACTCTCATGAGTATCGGAATCTTAACATAGGTTTTACTCTGTATAAATGGGAATGCCCATAAGCCAAAACCCAAATGGGATTAGGAATTTAGGAATGGAATCACCAGGGAAGTCCTTGCCAAGGTGACTGCAGGGGAACAGGAACAAGTGCAGTTCACAATAGATTCAAATGTTCCCTATTTAAGGATGTTGTCCCCATATACCAAGGAGAGAAAAAAATTAGTGAGGTTTCCAAGGAATAGGAGGCTATGGGGATAGGGCTCATGAACTTCAGGGTGAGGAAGAGGGAGGCAGTGTCCAGTAAGGTCACAGGGAAATGGAGAAAACAGAGAAATAAAGCAGGTGTGTGTAGGTCAGAGTAGAAAAGAAGAGAAGAAAAACTAGGGGATATGTAGACAGCAGGTGGATTGAGCAAGCTCTCAGGTTCATGTCAGGGGAGGGACTAGGAAAGTTGAAAGGTTGTGTAAGTGGTAGAGGGTCTGTGCAAGTTGAAGAAGGGTTGTATAGAGGAAAGAAGCAAAAAGAGAAAGAACAGAGGAAGTGAAAAGGTGAAAAAGGTATTAATAAAAGGGACATACATATTACAGGAAGACTCAAGAAGATAAAGTGATATGGGTGTATGTGTGAGGAAAGGGAACATGTAACTGGTCATCTGAATACCCTGGCCTTAGGGAACTGGAACCATAAAGATAAAGGGATTAGTAATAGCCTTGGAAAACCCAGAAAAACCATAAAAATACTGTGATTAATGATTGCCCGGACCTTTGTAATAACTCCTCATGTTCCCTATCTGTATCAGTTTCCCCCTTAATGATGCCAAGGCAGCATCAAGAGGATGTGGTTTTGGTCTTTATAAGAGGGACTGTAAGAATGCTTGGGGCTGTTGATTTGGGAAGACTATGCCCCCCTGCAGCCCGCCTATGAATAAAGTGCTCCTATACAATTCAGCTGTGCACCTCTGGTTGTCTCGCCGACACATTATAACACTTTCTGAGTAGACACTTAAGAAGTGATGGAGAGATTTCTTGTCACAGGATGAACAAATAAACTTTATCCAGAGAATCCTTCACTTCTCTTTAGAAAGGATGAAGAGATGAAGAATAAATTTAAAGCCATCCCATCCATTTTGCAGTCATATAACCCATAGCATTGAAGTCTCTTGAAAATTGCTTGCTAAGTCTGTCCAGGTCTGCCCATTCAGCCCTGCCAGCTGGGCATTGCAACACTAGGGGGTGTCGTCCACACAATGTCATGGCCATCCTTAGGGTTGTCCCCTGAAGGAGATATTGTAACAATAACTACCACTTATTGGGCATTTATTCTGTGCCAGGTACATCAAATAGCATATTTCCTTTATTCTTTGCAACACCCCTACGAGGTAATGTGATAAGGTAAATTTTCCAGAGGAAGAAATTGGGACCCAGAGAGTGTCCCCAGTTAATTCTCTCATGTGTTGTAGGGGTAGGATTCTTCCTGATTTCACAGCCCATACTATTCCCACCACTCTCAACCCCCATTCCCTGGAAACGCTTCTCAGCCAGGCCAGTGCAGACTGGGATAAGGGGAAACATGTTCTCAGCACCCTGGAAGAATTACTTGGGTGATGACTAAACAACACGTGACCACAATTCTATCCTGATCTCAAACCTCCTATAGCCCAACAATACTTAAAAAGAAAGTGCAACACCCATAGAAGAGGACCAAGGTCCCATCTCCAACCTTCCTTTCTCCTCCTCTCCCTCTTCTCTGAGGCACTCTGTGCCCCCAACAGCCATTTTTCAAGGCATTTTGGGCCACAGAGTGCACATTTGCATATCAGCATCTCATTGGCTATTTCCTTTGCCTTCGCTTTAGACCGAAGGCCACAGATTGTTTGCACACCCAGAGAGCAAAAAAAGACAGTGAGGCACTGAAGTTTTATGTCTCATTTTTCATGACTGCTTTCCCAGCTCGCCTCTGTTTCTCCTGTGGCTATTACAAATTAACCTGCTATGAACATTTGTGCATAGGTTTTTGAGTGAATATAGTTTTAATTTCTCTGGGATAAATACCCAAGAATATAATTTCTGTGCCATATGGTAACTTTGGTATGTTTAGTTTTAGAAGACCCTGCCATATTTTTGAGGGGAGGAGCTAGCTGTACCTTTTTACATTTCCACCAGCAATTTATGGGTGATCCAGTTTCTTGAATGCTTGAATCCTTGCAAGCATTTGGTGTTAATGCCATGTTTATTTTCAGTTCTTCTGATAGGTGTGTGGTGATATCTCATTGTGGATTTAATTTGCATTTTCTTAATGGCTAATGATGTTGATCATCTTTCCATGAGCTTATTTGCCATCTATATCTCCTCTTTAGTAAAATGTTTATTTGCTAATTGGATTGCTTATATTTTTATTGTTGATATTTAAAACTTCTTTATATGTTGTAGTTATAAGGTTTTTGTTGGACCTGTGGTTTGCAAATATTTTCTCTTGGTCTGTAATTTGTTTTTTCATCTTCTTTATAGGGTCCTTCACAGAACAAAAGTTTGAATGTTCATGAGATCCAATTTATAAATCTTTTCTTTATGGACCATGTTTTTGGTGTCAAGTCTAGGAACTCTTCATTTAGCCCCAGGTCCTGAAGATTTTCTCTTAAGTTTTTACCTATGAGTTTTATCACTTTACATTTGAGATCAAAGAATGGTCCATTTTGTGTTAATTTTTGTATAAATATGAGACATAAGTCAAGGATTTCTTTATTTTTGTTTGTCTTTGCTTATCAATGTCCAGCTGCTCCAGCACCACTTGTAGAAAAGCTTGCCCTCCTGTTGAATTCCTCTTGTACTTTCATAAAAAAATCAGTTGGGCATGCCCGGTCTGTGTGGCTCAGTGGATTGTGGCTCAGATGGAACTTAGAGGTCCTGGTTCCATTCCCCATCAGGAAACACACCCAGTTGTGGGCTCGATCCCCAGTAGGGGGCGTGAAGAAGGCAGCTGAGTGAGGTTTCTTTCTATCCCTTCCTCTCTCTCTAAAAAAATCAATAAAAACATATTTTAAAAATCAATTGGGCATATTGGTGAGGGCCCTTATTGATATGTCCTGTCTGAATAAGAAAAGGGTTAATGGACCTGTTGCCCAAATGAATCATGCCACTAGTATAATAAACTATTTGATTATGAATTATTTGGTAATTTAGAGAGGTCTCATTACACACTCATGAATCATCCTCAAGGCCTTATGGGAACAGAACATTTGGCCCTTATCCCATCAAAATATTCCCTTTACCTAAATAGAAAGACATGGGAAAGAATGCCCATATTTTTCTTCCCCGGGCCAATACTTGGTTGCTTAACTTTGACTCTGTGAACTTTACAGGGATGGGAAAGTGATTGGCCTCTGTTAGGCTTCTTTTTGCACAGACTTCAGCCGAGACATGTAGCAGCAGCTCTGCCAGGAACTCAGGAGCCCGCTTGTGTATAAAAACCATAAGGGACATCTAAGGAAAACAACCTGATCCCTTTTAAGGACACACCGAAGCCAGAGAACTCAAGTTAATCATAGCAAGATACAACCAGTCTTAGAGCTGAGTACTGTGACATTAGCATTGCTTCCCTGGGTTTTTGAAACATGCATCTGTATAAACCTGCCTGTGCAGACATCCCCAGCCCAAAGCTGAGTCTGCCCAAATCCAGCGACTCTGCTCTGAAATGTAGACGGCACATAGCAGTGACCAAGCCGCCTCGGGCAGCCTGCTGGCCTGTCAGGCCCAGTGGAGCAGCGGAACAGAAACACCTGGAAAAGTTTTTACGTGTCCATGGAGTTTCGTTGCAGGAAACCACCAGGGCAGAGACGGGCATGGCTTACAGGTACGTGCTGGTTGCAATGTTACCCAACCAGGGCACTGTACTGAAGTCAAAGGTTGTGGTTACCAGAGAAATAAGGATTGAAATAGTGAAACAACACATACAGAAAAAGGAAAAGGAATATGAATGTAGTGAGCCCTCTTCTTGGGCTGCCTTATTTTTTCAAGCTTGAAATCGTCTACTTCCTCTCTGCTCAAAAGGTTTCATAAAAGATAGACAAGCTCATCTGGGAAGCTTCTGACCATGTGCTGCTCATAGAAATGTCTTGGATGTTGAGTAGGCAAGTGGGTTAGTGGGTCATAAATGAAGAATAGGGACTCAGTTTCTCTTTAGGAAATGTATGAATGAAGAGTAGGGTGTTTTCACTGCTGGGCTTTGGGGCTGTTATTGCCTTCTAAGACTGAGTCATGTGGTCTGTGCTAATGGCTAACAAAGCAGTTAATGAAACTCAGCTAGTTCTTTTTGAAATGACAAGACTTTCTATCAGTGTAGCCCAAGATATATTACTGGTTATTCTCTCAAATTCCAATCTCTTCATTTGTTCTGTGCAAGATTAACAAGAGGGAGAAATGTTATTCCTCGAATGGGGTGGGATGTGTAATCTTTATACATTGTTCTGAGAGGGGACGCATCCTTCTCCTTCAAGGCAATTATTAGTCAAACCTCTATAAGATGCTTGTGTGTAGCTAACTCACCCAGCAGAAATCCCTCTTTGACTAACACCAGGGGTTTTAAACGGCTGGGAAGCTGAGCCACTCAGAAGAACAAGGGTGCTGAATACTTAAAAGATATATTAGAGCATTTGGGAAGGCCTGTTGTTTTAGCTCAGGTAAAAAATTCTACTTCCAGAAAAAGATTGTTTTTGCATGGACAGGATGTCCCCAGTGACTTCAATTTTCTATAGTCTGAAGGTCAATTTTAATGTAGAGGCAAGTACTATAGCCCACCAGTTAATTGGACTAATAGAGCAATTTGCAATGAGATAGCTTCCCTCTGGAGAACAAAGTATTTCACACAGATTTTTTTTGCAATAAAGGGCTCATGCAGAAGTGGAATAAACTTTTGTAGGTTTCTAGGGCATATAGACATAGGACAGCCCACCCATCATGCTTCAGAAGTGGAGCCTAGAAGAACCTGGTCACCTTCTCAAGAGAATCCCAGACAGAGGAGGAGATGCTGATGTTCCTCACCCACCTGCCCCGAATCCATCCTTCTCTCTCTGCCTCTTCACATTCTCTTACTGTCTTCTCCGCACTTTCCTTGACCCTCAGATGGCAGTGGTGCATATAGACCAGGTGAGGATGGACGGTTTTATTTTTTAAAAATCCGTCTTTCCATCTCTATCACAGGATGTGTGTTGTTACCATGAACTCGTGGTGTTACCATGAACTCCTGGATAAACTCAGAGGACAGGCCCCTGTCTCTCAAAAGTCCTGGTTGGAATATCAATGACACATCTTGTGATGTTTCCAATGTTCAAACAAAGACGTGTTCCAGGACAGGGTTTTCCAGATTGTTATGAAGCAGAGGAATGCTTTCTTCAAACTGGTAAAAGCAAAGGTGTCCTAGTTTATGTTGGGGGCCTGAAGCCCATCTGAGGGGAGCAGTCATTCCCAGCCTGGTTTTGGAGGCACCATGGTCTCCACAGTTTGAGAGGATAGTTCTCCTCATAATGCCTGGGAGAGCAAGGCTCTGTGATCTGGAGGATACCAGGTCCTGCTCAGAGAGGCAAACTCTTGGGCAAGAATACATATGCCATTAGATAGTACTCTAGTAAAAACGGGGACTTCAGAGATTGTCGTTCCCCGTCAGAATCTGAGGAGAGCAGAGTGCAGTGACACTGACCACCGGCCCCAGGAGCAGCCCAGGCTTTAGTGATGATGGATTTGCTGTGCGCTGCCACCTGCTCCCGGTGCACCCTCCACCCCCACCCCACTGGAAACACACCTGCTTTCTTCAGATTTCCACAGTACTTTGTTCTTTCAAGGCACGTATTAATTACCATTATTTAAAACATGCTCCTTTAAGCACTAGGGAAGGATTATTAGGGAGGAGAACCCTGGTTCTTTCTGTTCCTCCATAACTTAGCTTTTGACCTTCACTTCCTGTAAACATGGTTTCGGTTTAGGAGGGAAGGTAACTTGGATACTCTAACTTCTTCATCTTGATTTCTACCTTCCCTTGTGACCACTGGTTTGGTTCAAAGACCCGGCTCAACCTGTGTTTCCTATCTTCTTCTTTGCAAGGGTATTATTTCATGTGAAGGGGAAGAGAATGGGCTTTGGCATTAATCAGACCAGAGTTCAAACCCCAGCTTTTCTGGTTTACTAACTTGTGACATTGTGTCAGCTGTGACATCTAAGTGTCTGACACACAGTAGGAGCTCACTAAATGTAAGTTCCCTTCCTGCCTAGTTCGTAGACTCTGTCAATCATTCTAGGGGCACGGGATGAACACCCCCTATAGATAAAACAGAGAAAGATAAAATAGAATATTCTCAGAAGGGAAAGAAAGAATAAAAAACTTCTCAGCAATTCACAATCTGTGTGGGTTTTCATGCTGAGCTTTAGAATTCTGAGAGGCCTGCAAGAGCTGGGAATCTGCTTTCTCTTCCTAATTTGGTCCGAAGCCATGGCAGCCTTCAGCCCAATACCAGCTGCTCAGGTCCTTCGATCATCTGTGAGAGAGCATTACGCTGTTTCCATGGAGACCTGGTTACATTTCTAACTAAGGGTGACCAGGGGAGGGAAAAACCAGTAAATATGCAAACACATGTATCAACTGAAAAGAAACTGGAGGAAATTGTTTGAACGTGGTGTGAAAAGTGCCAAGTTGCTGCATAGATCCTTCTGTTGGCTTAGAATTTTCAGTAAAAATAGAAGTTTTTGTCGATTTATTTTATTAGTGTCTATAAAATAGTCACCCAAGACAGTCCTTCAGTAATTTCTAAGTGGAGGAAACTTAATTGACTTTATTACATAATATTGAACTCTGAGCCAGACAGTATGCTTGAGCTTGGGTCGAGGTTAAAATGCACCGAGAAGTAATTTTATAGACAGAGCACAAAAAATAAAATAGCTACACCGAGTAAGGCTGCAGCAAATGCGAGCTTTGAAGCAATTTTATAAAACTAACATTAGCAAGAGGAACTCAAACACATGGAAAATGAAGGTCTAATCCAGGGGTCAGCAAACTTGTCCTGTAAAAGGCCAGAAAGTAAATACTCCAGGCTCACGCCACCTCCACCTTGGTCATAACTGCTGGACTCTGCTGGGTCAGGGTGACAGCAGCCATTGACAATAAGCAAATGAGTGGGTGTAGCTGTGTTCCAATAAACTTTATTTACAGATAAGGAAATTTGAGTTTCAGGTAATTTTCTCGTATCACAAATCTTCCTTTTTTTCTCCCAAACCAGTGAAAAATACGAAAGCCAGTCTTACCCTGTGGGCCACAGAAACACCAGCGGCGGGCTGGATTCGGCCAGGGGGCTGGTTTGCTCGCCCCTGGTATAGAAAACAAAGCTTTCAGCTAGACTGGTTCTTTCTTTCTTTGTTTGCTTATTTTCTTACATCTCCGTGTGTCCAGGGGTATTTAAGGTGTCGAAATGCATACATTCGGAAAGATAGAGACAAACACAGGAGAGGAAACAAACGAGGCTAGGAGGCGAAGAGCAGGGAGGGGAGACGGCGGGTGGTGAGCAGGCCGCGTCCTGACCTTGGACCTTTCTAGCAGCACCGAACTGTGAGAAGGGAAGTGGCCGTCTTCACAACGGTCACGAGTCCCTGCGGGGAGTCGGGCCAGGTGGGCTCGGTGATGGCACACCTCTTCTGGAGATCAGAGAGACATTTCTCTCATAGTTCTTCTTCTTCGTGTAACTAACAACATCCTCCGAAATATCCTTACAGTAAACACAGCAGTGAGGCCCCCAGAGCTCTTTCCTATGGAGCCCCTACTATTAATAAATGCATAGCAGCAAATAATAATTCATCCAGAGCCAGTAGGTGGACGGTAGAAGAAAGGATACTAGTTTAATTGAACCACATCGATCTTTTTGAGATTATGTGTGCTTAAAAAATTCCCCAATAATGATGATACAGATATTGCTATCTATTATAGTGGCAGGGTCTGTCCAGGTTCATGGAATAAAACAATCGTTTCTTGAAAAACAAAACAGAACAAAACACACCAGTTATGCTATTTGCCAACCAAAGATAATTTTTTTATAGCCTTGAGCGGAAGGTGGGGAAGAAGAAAAGGAAGGCAGAGGGACATCTCAGATTTATTGGATGGGACAGAACACAAAGACAATCTGCTCCAATTTCTGGTTTAACAGCTGAGAAAATTCAAAGCTCAGAGATGTTGGGTGACTAGCCTGAAGGTGCAAAGCAGGGAACCCCTGTTCCTTGAATCCCAGCCCAGTGCTTTCTGCAGACTCTCCATATTTATTCCCAGCCCTCCAACCATCCCACCCCACGCCAACACACACACACACACACACACACACGCTCCTCCATGGGATGCGGTCACATTCACCACCCTGCTCTGGTCCGCTGCCCCAGGTGCTCCTCTTGTTGCTCTGCTGTGGAACCTGCTTTAGTCCACTGCTCTGCACACAGACCCTCCATCCCTGCCCCAGACACTGGGTTTCACTCATCATTGCTTTCCCTGTGTGGACTATTGTTTCAAATCCCCCTTGCCCAGGAACATGAAACCCGGAGTCTTTCCCTTCTCTCTTACAGCATGACGTCTTTTGTTCCATATATACTTTGGATTATTAGTTTTGCCTGTGTGTGAGTGTGTGTGATTCTCAGAATTATACTGTTGTCACCTTGAGGATAAGGAGTTTATAATATATTTTGTAATCCTCTCATGCTTTGCACTTAGAAAGTGCTCGATGCATGGTATTGCTTGTTTGGGGTACATCCATTCAGAAGCTGGAGAACAGAAAGACACCAAAGAGCAAATAGAAACCTCCCTTTAATAGTAGTCTATTTACTCCTGTA